TCGGCGGACAGACATCACTGCGTTTGAAGAACTCGTGGTTCAAAATAATACATTTACCGAAGTTCTTGTGTCGCATATCGTAGTCAATGGAGTCCTCGTGTATATGGAGGACACCGTGTGTTGGCGAGTGAGCCGTCGGTGGGCCGTTGGAACTGTTGGAACAGATCACAGACTTTTTAGTCATATTTAGAACCATTGGCGCCAATCAGTGGTCAGTACTTAGATCCAGAGGCCGGTGGGTTCGCGTCCATCTGGTCCCCATCGCCCACCCCTTCATTCACTTCTTGGTCGGCCATCGCTTTCATAATCAATTCAATTGGCAATCAATTATGGGTTCAATTAAATACCACATTAACTACTCTTCACTTGTCATAAGACTTACCATTCAGTGAATAGTTGAGTGAATGTGCGCTCAATCAGCGGTCAATACATGCGATGAAATCAATTGAATGAAACTGAATGTCATTTAAATGTCTATAAAATGCAAATCAAAAGCAATTAAACATTAATCAAGTATTTCATCACATATTATAACGTTGTCTGCAGTCAACACATACACATATACCGTACATGCATTACGAGTGCTATGACTCCCCTAATGTGCCCCTCATTCACACAATCACTCAATTGCATGCAAACAAACTCCGATAAACCGCTTAATAGTTTGTCACAGACTTTATGATCCGTTTATTGAACTCTATTTGCATATTATGAGTCATACGTGCAATACACGACCCTGACACTACCTCGATCATCTAGTAATTGGGTCATATGAACTATAAATACATTTTGTAATCCGGATGCTATTTTCAATTAGTAATGACTTGTACTGACAAACCTTTACTAACTTATTGAACAGTAATATTAAACCTTTTATTCATAAAACTCTTGACGAAATTGAATCCAAATCTTACACAATAACCGCATGAATGTTAACCTCCTGTAACCCCCACCCCAGGCCTCCCACACCTCCTGAGTCTTTAATGAGACTACACATACCGTGCCTTCACTTTCAATGCACTAATTATCACTAAAATATGTATTTTCTTATATTTGTTCATTTGATTTAATAAATTAAAAGTTTCATAAACTGTTCAATAGTTTGCAAACATTGAGGCATTGATTAGTCATAAAAAACAAATTATTTGTCAACTCTTTAGTAGACTTTTGGTGCAAATATTGAGTCAATTATTATACGTTTGGTTTCACTATCACTTCAACTCTTTGTATCAAAAGTGAGTCCTTTTTCCGATAGAAATAGCAGTGAATTGTGTCCACACTTGCGGTCCATTCACTCTAATGTCACTCAAATCAGCCACAAGTGAGCCATCGGTGGTCACGTCGGACACCTCCAAAGAGCTGATACCATGCGATGGCTTCAGTGCTCCACTGATTCCCTCACAGAGTCTGACGTTCGCCACAATGACTGCTGAGGACTGCAGACACGACTGTGTGATCTGTTTGGACGCAATCTGCGAGACCGAAAGACTGGTGCGATTCGTGGCCTGCAATCACTACTACCACACGGACTGCATCCAAGAGTGGTTGCGCGCAAACATCTCGTGTCCCATCTGTCGCCATCTGATCCCAGTCTGCGATAATCCCTTTTACAACAGAAGGTGCGATTCGTGGCCTGCAATCACTACTACCACACGGACTGCATCCAAGAGTGGTTGCGCGCAAACATCTCGTGTCCCATCTGTCGCCATCTGATCCCAGTCTGCGATAATCCCTTTTACAACAGAGCCGATGTCGAGGAATCGGACGACGAGTCGGAAGAGTTGGCACAACTGTTGGCTTTCTCGCGATATGTTGTCGACAATGGGACGGACGACGAGTCCGAGACGGAGGCACAGGAGGCACAGGAGGCACAGGAGGCACAGGAGGCCACCGATGGGGCCGATGGGGTTGAGGTGACCGCACAAACCCAAGTGAGCTTCTGGAGCGAAGACTCCATCGATTATATCTGCGAATTTGACCGAAGAGTTCGTATGTTTCTCGAGATGTCAGATGAAGACGATTTGGATGACCCCGAAGATGTGGACTTCTTTGAATGGTTTCCACAGTAGACAACATGGGACCAGTTGTGGTGATGATTGTAGTTTGAGTTAGATTTATGTATGTTTTGATTGTACGAGCTATTCATTCAAATATTTGGTGCTTTTTAAAATTTTTTTGGTAACAGAATTGATATTTAACACATTATCTGAGTTATAGTTATTAATAGTTACGATACTAGTTGTCTATATAATAGTTAATCTTATTTGATATTAATAGTACTTTTATGCATCACTTAATACATTGCTGTTGACATGTTTTATAGTTTTATAATGATTTACTGATCATTTTGAATATTGCACTTGTTTTGTAACAAATGTTTTGTGTATTTTTAAATAAATAATTTTCACGCAAACAAATCGTAAATTGAGAATAACGTTATATAAAATATTCTAAATGAGTAATTATCTAATTTTAGACATTATGATTAATTCGTACACCCGTTTACACGCCCAAATAAAAATTACTATGTTTATAAAACGGAATTAACTAATGCTCTTATTACACTAATGTTAAGGTATATTACTGTAATGAATAACTATTTAAATAAAATTATAATTAATTGTTTTAGACACTAATTAAATCAAATAATATACTATTACTGTGTAATGGATGTAATTTAATGAATGTATCAATAAAATCAAGAAACTGAAACAAAAAACCCAAACACACCTTTATAAGTCATATAAATTTACACACAAGTAAAGGAATATAAGAACTTATATGTCATTATAAGTAGTATTTAACCAACTCTGGATTTAAGGTTGGTATTTCCCAGACTGATAAGTCAGTAAAGTTCCCACAAAAATGAAAGTTATTTCAGTTTTAGTGGGAAGTTGTGCTCAAGATAAATTGGAAATATCTTTAATGCATTCTTATCGTTCAAAAGCTTTTGACATGATATTGTATTGACTTTACTTTACAGTACTTTCGCTAACTATTGATAAGAATTTTAAAATGTCAAAATTAAGCTATTAAATAAATTATTTTCAAAATTTATTTACTAATTCCACTTTTTATAATATTGTAATACTGTAACAAACTTTTGTATGACACTGGTGCAAATATTTTTGCTAATAAATGGTGTATTGAGAAGATTTTGATGATTCACTCCATATATGAAGATTCTGTGGAGTGAGAGATCACTAAATCAGAGCCAAACTGCAAATGTTTACTACTTTGGAGTCATTCTCTCGTAAAGAAAACCATTTATTAGAAATAACTTTCGCTCCAATTGTTTGCAATGCTGTATGACTTTAAAAAACAATATTTTGATTAATTACACACATTTGTGTGACTTTATTCTCGCAGCTAATATTGTACATCCCATCCGATTCCTGCTATTCATAAATTAGCAAAAGAGTGACAGATTTGACAACAAAGTGGAGAGGATTTGCTGACAATTTGATTATGATTTGATTATTTGATTATCTCATAAATAGATGAAATACGAATCCCAAACTCATTTATATACAGCACATGTCAACTATTTCTTGACTCAATTATCTAAGTGGTGGTCAAAATAGTACAATGAATTAAGTCATATTAATTCTTAGCTACTTCAAAATAAACTGCCCCTTACTATCCCGCCATATATTACAACATTATCAATAGAAAAGCACAATATAATAAATTATTATGCTATATTGATACAATACTCTAAATTTACTGTATAATGCAGTTCTAATGCATTACCATAAGAATAGAGACTAAAATAGTTGTCACAAAACACATTATAATCACAAAATAAATTACTTAATGCTCGCGGAGTAGGAAATACTGTTAAGTAATGTAATGACAAGTATTGGTCGTGTATTTGTGTCAAAATATTCGCTTTGAAACACTTAAGATTGGGATCAATATGTTTGTGAGACGTTTGGGCCATAAATTCTTAATGCTATTAAAGTCCAGACATAAAAAACTTAATACAACAAAAAACTAAGAAACAGATCGTGGAGTCGCCAGTGGACTGACGATACGTTTTAGGATAACAGCGCTGACCCCATATTTTTAAGTATATTTTTGTGCTGAAAATAATGTGAAAAAAGTTTTTTGAGTGAAAAGAGGATATCCTTTTTGACAGCATTTTTTGAATATAAGTTTTAAAGCTTAAAGAGAGCTCTCGATTACGTTTCGCTTATAACAGAGAGAGAGAGAGAGAGAGAGAGAGAGAGAGAGAGAGAGAGAGAAAAAGACAGCGTTTTTGAGTAGTGAATCGTTTTCAGTATATTTGGCTTTTATTCGGTCTTCACTTTCGCTGTATTTTTGGCACCAATTGTCCAATCATTCAATTGCTTCTCCAGTGAGCCTCCAGTGAGTGAATCACTTGACAGTCCGCTGCAAACTATGCGATCTGTTTGTCAAATGCAAACATAAGGCGCTCACACATCGCCAGCTCCTTAAGCCCCCGATTCACAGCATTCCCCACAAGTATTCCCGCATCGAATTGGGAGGAATGGGAGCCCAACTATAGCCCAACTATAGCCCACATCCAGTATTTCACTATAAGTAGCCCTACAAACAGGAACACACATAAAAGCCACCGATGATTGTATAGTATTGTAAACAATTATGTGACATATGATTCCCTATTGAAAAGTTTTTTAGTACTTCTATGGGTTTTTGAGTTTCTTCAATGAATGCAATTGATTGCACTTAATATATGAACCCAACTAACAGTTAACTGTCACTCCATTCAAACGGTCTCATAAATTATGAATAATATGTTAATTAAAATATTTGCCAATCATCGCTAATGTCTTCGGTTTCTCAAAAACTCTTGTTTCCCTGTCATCTGATTATGTAATCCAAAACAGAAATACTATTACTTCCGACAAATGTCTTTAAACTGACACTCAGTTTCGACAGAATATTAATTTCTTGACATAATATATAGTGAATCGTTAATCACGTATAATCTCATTGAATGAATACCTCATAAATCTCATCGATTTTAGCGCTCTATTCATAAAAATATTTCTTTGACGGCAAACGATACGAATGTTTCAAAAAAGTGAATTCATATCATAAATTGAAAGACATTTGTGCCAAACATCTCTCGCTTGCCTCACATATTATGTCTCCAATTGGTTACACTTGAGAGCATTTATTATTTGTCAAAGATTTTCAATTTATTTAAGTAATGCAAACCATCCGCATATGAAATGAGTAATAAAATCTAACATTTTTAAAGACAAATGTAATAAATTAAAGCCATTTGAAAGTACTATAAAAACACTACAAAGTT